TTACGTCCAGAGGGCACCGATCCATGGAGCCTGCAGGGTACCACAGGCCGACTGGGGACAGGTAGCAACTGAAGAGCAGGCGGCAAGCAAGTCGCGACGTAAGAAGCGCATCCAGGGTGTGGAGAGTGATAACTAGACAGAACAACCACACCTGAGATGCGACAGCCCGGATCCGACGAGTGGAAGGTAGGGAGGGGCACGATGCACGGCAGACCCCTAGGAGTGTGCACATCAAAGGTGGCCCAGCGATACCCATCCGAGTCGTCTAGCACAGAGGGACGAGGACGTCTTGTACCCGAGACGTGTCCCACAGAGCCAACGGATGTACTGGTGGGGTTACGCGAAACGTCGTGAAACTCTTGTCATGTTTGTTTCCCATGTATAATGTCGCACATGCTCACGGAACTACTGGGACGCTGACATCCGTGAACATTCCAGCCAGGTGCCTGGTTGATTGCAGTAGTAACACCGCTGCAGTGATGTGTACAGATTGGGTCCTCGAACATATCGAATCGCTCTCGGTCCTTCTCGAGCTGCTGATGAGCTTCCGCCGTAGTGCACCATGTCGGAAAAGGCACAGCAAAGCTTTCATGGGTCTGTTTCGCACGATTGTGCCTTAGCAGCGTCTGGGAACGATTCCAGTATGGTTCCAGGTGGAGCCGATCCACCCAGGCCAGTATCACGTTGTCGGTCATCCCATGTTCTTGCTCATGAAGCTGTGCTCTGGCTGCTGCCCAGCACACGTTCATGTACTGCCCGTGCAATGTAACTTTGTCTTTCCCAAACGTCCGCACATAGGCTAGACGCTAGACTGGACATGTTCAGCGCATAAGCAACTTGGACCAAATCCATCGCACCAGCACCGTCACAGGTGACAACAGGCGTTCGTAGCGGTGTTGATGCCTGCGACGTTAGTATATGCCTTTGCTTAATATCTGAACCCAGCAGTCCTCCGACGTGCTTTCCTCTGGCAACGGATCGATGAGTACGCCCAGGCCGATTATCGTGAAATCCCCGTTAGTGGCATGCGAGTACAAGTACTCCTCCTGAACTCCTCCTCCTCCTCCTCCTCCTCCTCCTCCTTCCCACCCCAGTCCGAATCCTCGCGAAGGTCGGCGACGCTCGCGCCCTCCTCGCGGTCCGCCTCGCCGAGCAGCCACCGCAGCGACGGCAGCAGGGTGGCGGGATCCTCCTGGTGGATGGAGAGTCGAGGACGCCCGAGGAGGGAGGAGGGAAGCGTGGAGGGGAGCGGGGAGCGAAGCCGAGGCTGATGGTCAGGGTACTCTTTCCCTCTCTGCTGGGAGCCAGTCCCTCTTGAGTGCTGAACGGGTTTTTACTGCCCCCCTGATTCATGTGCTGCGTGCTGCAGCAGCAGGACGCAGCGCGCCCAGGACTCAAGGAGCCAAGGAGGGATGCAGAGGCTGAGGGGAAGTGGAGGGAGGTGGAGCGAAGTGGAGGGAGATGGAGGGAGGTGGAGGGGAGGTGGAGGGAGGAGGGGAAGTGGAGGGAGGTGGAAGGGAAGTGGAGGCCGAGGGGGAGCGGAGGGAGGTGGAGGGAGGCGGAGCAAGGGGGGGAAGGGAGCCGAGCGCTGGAAGACCTCGTCGAGGATCCTCCGAGGGCCCCGGCGCCCTTCGCCGCGGCGGGAGCGGAGGGCGCGGCGGGGCCGAGCAGGCCGCCGCGGGGGGGCCGAGGGTGCCGCGGCGTGGCTACAGGCCTCGGAAAAAATAGCGAACACTCATGCCACATTTGGGGGGCCCAAAAAATATACACCACCATCGCCTCCCTCACCCCCTCCCTCTCCCAGGAAAGAGGAAGGGAAGATGATGGTAGAGGAGAGAGGAGGAATCGACGTGGTGGTGTATATTCTTTGGGCCCCCAACATTCATCTGTCAACGCCTCCCCCTCCCCCCAATGTTCGAAGTTCGCGGTGGGTCTGATGAAGCCCCGAGAGCGCTTCCGAGAGACCCCAAGAAGCATCCACGAAGACTCTGACCCACGTCAGCGTCGCCGTCGCCGCCGCCGTTGTCGTCGTTCCCGTTCCGGGTCGGCGGCACTGGCCGTAAGGCCTTCGCAGTAATGATCAGGAGATGTAAGTGGAAGAGGCGCATTCCTTATCTACGCAGGAAAGGTCTCAGAAGTGTGACAGCCAGAGTGCTCCGCAGTCCCCCGCAAGCTCGTGCCGCCCAGTCCGACGGAGCCGTCGAATCGCAGCGGCCGGCTACTGCGGCCCAGGCTGTCAAGAACAGAAAGTCTCAGAAGGGTGACAGGCAGAGTGCCCTGCAGTCCCCCACAGGCTCGGGCCGCCCAGTCCGACGGAGCCGTCGAATCGCAGCGGCCGGCTACTGCGGCCCAGGCGGTCGAATGGAAGCTCCGCGGGCCGGGGATTCGCGTGGTCCATACGGCGCGGGGACTTCACCACACCCCGAATGTTGTTCCCATCGTACTTAAGGCCTCCATCCCAGAAATAATTAAACAACTATCGAAACGGTGCCTGCCCGACACGCTAGCGAAGTTTCGAACGATTACAGCCTCCAGGGTCAGACACGTGAAAAGCTTCCAGTTTCGGTATTTCCTTGGTGTTCGAAATTCTTGCTGGTGATCAAGTCTAAAGTAGGCTGGAGCAACAGAACCCGAAAGAAGCCTACAAGCGCCGGACGGCCGCGGCACCCCGTTGCCATCCTGGACAGCCCGCCCTGCGGCCCACGGGAGGCTTCATGAGGACACCAGACGGCTCCAGGGAGCCCCGAAGAAGCCCACGTCAGGGTGCCGGAGGGGCCCGAGGCCCTCGAGAGAAAGCCACGAGGAATGAACGAACGAACCACCACTGCGGACAGCTGTCCGGGCCTGCTCAAGACCTGGTGGGGGAGGCCGTGGCCTTCTGAACCCTGTACGTATGGACACGCAAGCATGCATATGATCAGCGATACAAGTTTCACAGTGCATAAGAAACAAGAAAGCCACGAGGGGCCACAAGGAAGGAGGTGTTTACGGTCGGGATATTTTGGATAGCGTTGCTTCGGCGCGACGCGCTATCCAATTCCCAGCCCTCGGGCGTCCACGTCCCTAGCCTTCTCGAGCCTCCCACCCCGCAGAGCGGAGCGACGCGCTATCAGCTCGCAGGGCATAGCGTGTCGCTTGGGCCGCTGCGGCGACACGCCATACCAAAAGTTCTCGACCGTATATATAGCACCCCGCAATTGCGGATAAGATTGAGGGGGCGGGCACGGGCGACGCGGGCGTCGTCGAGCCGGCGGACCTCGTGGCCCCCACCTTCCCGGTCGATGGCGCTCTCCTCCTCCTCCTCCTCCTCCTCCTCCTCCTCCTCCTCCTCCTCTTCCTCCTCCTCCTCCTCCTCCTCCTCCTCGTCCTCGTCCTCATCGTCATCGTCATCCTCCTCCTCCACCTCGTCCTCCTCCTCTTCTTCCTCGTCCTCCCTCTCCCCCCCTCGTCCTTTCATCATCGTCCTCCCATTGTCGTCCTCCCCCTCATCGGCCTCCATCATCGTCCTCCAATTGTCGTCCATCATCTGTCCTCCTCGTCCTCCTCCCTCCCCCCCTCCTCCCCCTCCTCCCCCTCCTGCTCCTCCTCCTCCTCCTCCTCCTCCTCCTCCTCCTCCTCCTCCTCCTCCTCCTCTGTCTCCACATTCTCCTTCCATCCTCTCTTCTTCCGCGTCCTCCTCGTCCCCTGTTTACTTCTCCTGCCTCCCCCTCCTTTTCCCAAAATAGCAGCAACGCAGTCCTTTTTTCCACTTTATGCTCCCCAACTTCTCTGATCAAGGCAACTCGCCAGGGCAAAGTTGCTGGACGGGCTGATGTGGATGCGCGGGGCTTGAAGAGGGCCTTGCGGGCTCAGACGGCATGCGAAAATCCGCCGCCGCGCTTGTGCGGCATTGGTTTGTTCAGTGAACGTGGTTTGGGTCGCAGGTGGGTCGCGGGCTCTCCACCTCCACCTGGAAGGAATGCAAACGCAGCCCGCCGCAGGCGCCAACAAAAATTGTTTTTTTATACTGAACGTGGTTTGGGTCGCGGGTGGGTCGCGGGTTCTCCACCGGGAACGAATGCAAAAAATGCCCGCCGAAGGCGCCGAAAAATTTGGTTTGTACCCTGAACGTGGAAGCGGGTGGGCCGCGGGCTCTCCACCTCAAACGAATGCAAAAGATGCCCGCCGCAGGCGCCGAAAAATGTGGTTTGTACCCTGAACGTGGTGTGGGTCGCGGGTTGGTCGCGAGTTGGTCACGGGGTGGGTCGCGGGCTCTCCAACTGGAAGGAATGCAAAAAAGCCCGCCGCAGGCGCCGAAAATTGTGGTTTGTACCTTGAACGTGGTTTGGGTCGAAGGTGGGTCGCGGGTGGGTCGCGGGGTGGGTCGCGGGTGGGTCGCGGGTGGGTCGCGGGTGGGTCGTGGGTGGGTCGCGGGTGGGTCGCGGGGTGGGCCGCGGGCGGGTCGCGGGGTGGGTCGCGGGTGGGTCGCGGGGCGGGTCGCGGGGGGGGTCGCGGGTGGGTCGCGGGTGGGTCGCGGGTGGGTCGCGGGTGGGTCGCGGGTGGGTCGCGGGGTGGGTCGCGACTTGGGTCGCGGGTGGGTCGCGGGGCGGGTTGCGGGTGGGACGACGACAACAAACAACAACAACGGGCAAACAACAACAACAAACAAACAACAACAAGAATCCGCACCGCGGAATTCCACTTCAGCCACGCACCCAGGAACAGTGAATGACAGTTCGGCCCCCTCACTCTGACCTTTGTGGCCCACTCCACAACAAGATGTCGGCGGCAGAGGCGGCAGCACTCATACACAGGCCACTTCACGCCACACTCCTGAGCCACAGAGGAATTCTGGTAGCCCTCGCTGCGCCCCCGCCACGAGGGCCACACGGTTGCGACAGGCTTCCAGAGGGTCGAGAGAAGGCCGCGAGGGGCCAGAACGACGGAGGCTTACGCCTGTGTGGCCCACTCCACTGGAAGGGGTCGGCGGCAGAGGCAGCAGCTCTCAGAGACAGGCCTCGTCAAGCGAAACTTGCTACTGCAGCCGAAGCCTCGGCGGAGCTCCTGCCGCCATGCGTCCCCGCCACGAGGGCCACGCGGTGGTGACAAGCTTCCGGAGGGGTGCTGGCGTCCCCGTGGTCGTCGTCACCCAGTAGACCTGCCAGGATAAAGAAGGGTCCGCAGGCTTAGATCTGGACCTGTGGGACATGCCACAGGTCCAGATCTAGACCTGTCAGGGCCAAAGAGCCTACGAAATCAGGCTGGCCGACGCGGGGCGCGAGCCCAAGCCCAGCAAGTCGAAATCTAGACCTGGCAGGGGGACAAGGACCCACTCACATGTCTAGATCTAGCAGACCCGTCACAGGCCGAGATCAAGACCTGTGGGGGCCCAGGAGATCAGAGGCCAGGCCAGCGCAGGGCGGGAACCAAAACCTAGCAGGTCTCTAGATCTAGACCTGCGGGCCCCGCCACAGGTCTCTGTCTAGACCTGCGGGGGCCACGGGCCCGACCAACGGAAAGACTGGGGCGGAGCCCAGCAGACACGAATCATGACTTGCCTGGAAGAGAAAGGGACCATTGGTTTAGATCTGACCCTCTGGGCCACGGGTCTAGATCAGGACGACGAGGGGCGCGGGCCCAAGCCGCGCAGGTCTGGCAGGGGAGCAGGGGCCCACATGTCTAGATCTAGCAGCCCCCCCCACAGGCCGAGATCAAGACCTGTGGGGGCCCAGGAGATCGCCAGGCCAGCGCAGGGCGGGAATCAGACCGTACATGGACAAAATGTTGCACCACTTTTGCTGCGTATTGGCGCCCATACTGCATTGCTCGTTCACCCCCTTCCTCCAGATCTTGATATTGGGTGCATGGCCAAAAGCCCTTGGGCCGCCCAGGGGCTCCCGACAAAATGTTGCACCACCGAATTGTTTCGACCAGCACGGACTGAACCCAATATTAAGATCGGGGGGAGGGGGGTGGTGGAAAACAAACGCTTACAGAACAGCGATGCGACTTGTTGTCCGGGCCAGGTGGTGCAACATTTTATTGATGTGCCAGAATCCAGCGGATCTCGAAATCTAGACCTGCGGGTCCCGCCACAGGTCTATACTTAGACCTGTGGGGGCCAAGGGCCCGGAATGCCCGACCAACGGAACGGTGGGGACAGAGCCCAGCAGATATACATCATGACCCGCCAGGAAGACCAGGGGACCATGTGTCTTGTGAGATCCCCAAAGGTCCAGATCTAGGCCTAAAACCCAAAGAACCAGAGAGACCAAACAACCGCGGGGCTGCATCCTGCCTCAGGTCTGGAAATACACCTACCGGGCTCCCTCCCAAGAGAGGTCTAGATCCAGGCCTGCGGAGGAGGCCCGAGGGCGGGAAGCAGAGGGGTACCCAGAGCTGATCATCGTCGCCCAAACGACCTCCGACTGCAAATCCCGCTCGCCCCAAGTGCCTCACGTACAGGTTCAAATACAGGAGACCACTGTCCGTATGCCCACGCACGACTTTGAGCTCGATCTCGCCAAAGGCAATCCACTTCGGAGTCTCGGCGTCGCTATGCGATATGCTGTAATGATACCCTCCAACTTGCTTTGCCTCTGCCCAAGAACCTGTCGCGTTCAATTCTTGGAAATACATGTCTCCGCAATGTCCGCCCAGCAGGCGCGCCTCGGCCTGCACGCGAAGCAGTGCGGTTTCAGCGCTCGTTCCACGAGGAATGTTTATCAGAACATGCTTGCCCGCCTTCATCAGGTCGAACCGCTGGCCATGAATGTTTTGCAAATGGGGATCGCCAGTGGCGGAAGCCCCACCTGCGCCGCCTGCACTGGGCGCACTCGGTGGGGCCGGAATCGGGTGTGCCGTCGGGACCCCGGACCCCGTCGGGCTTGGCGTCGGTTGGCAAGCGGGGTGGCGATCGTGGTACCAGCTCCCGTAAGGACTCTGCAGCAGCTCTTCGCAAGTCATATGGTCGCAGCCACAGCAAGCTGCTGCGCCAGCCAATCCAGACACGCCGTGATAGCCGTATGCTGTTGGGTTTACTTCTTGGAAGCTGCGCGTGCACCAACCAGACGGGTGGTTCCTGTAGAAGTCACAGTCTTGGTGAGACGAATAGCCGTCGTGCCATCCTGGGACGTCAGTGCATGTGCTTGGCGGGGCCTGTGGAAACCGGAACGTGTTCATTGATTGCCAAGTCAAAATGTCGCAACCGTTTGACCTGTGGTCTACCTGGAACCAAGACGATCCATCAACGGACGCTTCAATGATCCACTCCTGCGGGGCATTCGGGCAATGACTGTCAGGCTTGAAAGTGTACGAATCAATCTCCACGACGGTCCCCATATCCCATTGAAGATACGCACCGCCATGGTCTGCCGACCACCCGCACCAGTGACCAGTTCGACCGCTTTGCCAGTTGGCTACCGTGCTTAGGTCGTACATACCCGAAAATCCGAACGCATGTGTCGACTGTACATAGTGGTCGTGCCAGTCACCAGTGAACTTCATGAAATTCATGCATATATGATTTGCGGTTCCACTGATAACCACAACGAACCTGAAATACCTTGCTGATACCATCCCCACAGTCGGGGATGGCGTCGGTGGGGCCGGAGTCGGAATCGGGTATGCCGTCGGGACCCCTGTCGGGCTTGGCGTCGGTTGGCAAGCGGGGTGGCGATCGTGGTACCAGCTCCCGTAAGGACTCTGCAGCAGCTCTTCGCAAGTCATATGGTCGCAGCCACAGCAAGCTGCTGCGCCAGCCAATCCAGACACGCCGTGATAGCCGTATGCTGTTGGGTTTACTTCTTGGAAGCTGCGCGTGCACCAACCAGACGGGTGGTTCCTGTAGAAGTCACAGTCTTGGTGAGACGAGTAGCCGTCGTGCCATCCTGGGACGTCAGTGCATGTGCTTGGCGGGGCCTGTGGAAACCGGAACGTGTTCATTGATTGCCAAGTCAAGATGTCGCAACCGTTTGACCTGTGGTCTACCTGGAACCAAGACGATCCATCAACGGACGCTTCAATGATCCACTCCTGCGGGGCATTCGGGCAATGACTGTCAGTCTTGAAAGTGTACGAATCAATCTCCACGACGGTCCCCATATCCCATTGAAGATACGCACCGCCATGGTCTGCCGACCACCCGCACCAGTGACCAGTTCGACCGCTTTGCCAGTTGGCTACCGGGCTTAAGTCGTACATACCCGAAAATCCGAACGCATGTGTCGACTGTACATAGTGGTCGTGCCAGTCACCAGTGAACTTCATGAAATTCATGCATATATGATTTGCGGTTCCACTGATAACCACAACGAACCTGAAATACCTTGCTGATACCATCCCCACAGTCGGGGATGGCGTCGGTGGGGCCGGAGTCGGAATCGGGTATGCCGTCGGGACCCCTGTCGGGCTTGGCGTCGGTTGGCAAGCGGGGTGGCGATCGTGGTACCAGCTCCCGTAAGGACTCTGCAGCAGCTCTTCGCAAGTCATATGGTCGCAGCCACAGCAAGCTGCTGCGCCAGCCAATCCAGACACGCCGTGATAGCCGTATGCTGTTGGGTTTACTTCTTGGAAGCTGCGCGTGCACCAACCAGACGGGTGGTTCCTGTAGAAGTCACAATCTTGGTGAGACGAATAGCCGTCGTGCCATCCTGGGACGTCAGTGCATGTGCTTGGCGGGGCCTGTGGAAACCGGAACGTGTTCATTGATTGCCAAGTCAAAATGTCGCAACCGTTTGACCTGTGGTCTACCTGGAACCAAGACGATCCATCAACGGACGCTTCAATGATCCACTCCTGCGGGGCATTCGGGCAATGACTGTCAGGCTTGAAAGTGTACGAATCAATCTCCACGACGGTCCCCATATCCCATTGAAGATACGCACCGCCATGGTCTGCCGACCACCCGCACCAGTGACCAGTTCGACCGCTTTGCCACTTAGCTACCGGGCTTAAGTCGTACATACCCGAAAATCCGAACGCATGTGTCGACTGTACATAGTGGTCGTGCCAGTCACCAGTGAACTTCATGAAATTCATGCATATATGATTTGCGGTTCCACTGATAACCACAACGAACCTGAAATACCTTGCTGATACCATCCCCACAGTCGGGGATGGCGTCGGTGGGGCCGGAGTCGGAGCTGGCGTCGGAGCTGGTGTCGGAACTGCCGTTGGGGACGGCGCTGGAGATGGCGTCGCCTGCATGGGCTCACAAGTTTCCTCCCTGTCTTGCTTCTCCACTTCCTCTTCCTCCTCCGCCTCCTCCTCTCACCACCCAAGCATGATGGATTCAATTCTGGGAAACCAATGACTCTAGATATAAGTGTGCTACGTGGCGGATGCTATGTGGTGCAAGTTATGCGGCGTAGGATATGCGGCGCAAGCTACGCAGTGAAAACTATGCCGCGTAAGCTGTGTGGCGCAGGCTACGCGGTGCAATCCGTTTGGTGTAAGCTGGGTGGTGTATGCTGCGTGTTGTGAGATTCGTGGTGCAGGCTATGGGGTGCAAGCTATGCGGTGGAAACTATGCGGTGCAAGCTATGTGGTACAGAGACTGGTGTGGGAGTTCCCTGGACCACCCCCAAGAAACCCCCGACAAAAAAAACGAGCGTTTGTTTTGTCGAAAATTGTCCCCCCAAATCCCGGGAAAGGGGGGGACGCTGAGAAGGTTTTTGGAAGGGCGGCGGGCGGATCGGGATTTGAACAGAACTCCTAAAGAGTCTCTCGTGCAGCGGGATGCTGTTGAGTATTGAGTACTGGGTGTTGTGTTGGAGACGGGGGCTGTCGAGTACTGGGTGCTGTAGTGGAGACGGACGCTGTTGAGTACTGGGTGTTGTGTTGAACGCGGAAGCACGGCGGGCGGGCGGGCGGCGGGCTGGCGGATCGGGTTTTGAATAGAACTCCTACGGATTATTTCTCTCTTGCAGCGGGATGCTGTTGAATACTGGGTGTTGTGTTGGATACGGGAGCTGTTGAGTACTGGGTGTTGTGTTGGAGAAAGACGTTGTTGAAATCTGGATGCTGTGCTGAACACGGAAGCACGGCCGGCGGGCGGCGGTCGGCGGGGAGCGGGCGGCGGGCGGACGTCGGGCGGGCGGCGGGCGGGCGGATCGGGATATATAAAAAAACTCCGAAGGATTCTCTACTGCAGAATACTGGGTGTTGCGTTGGAAACGGAAGCTGTCGAGTACTGGGTGTTGTGTTGGGGACGGACACTGTCGAGTACTGGGTCTTGTGTCGAACGCGGAAGCACGGCGAACAGGCGGTGGGGGGCGGGCGGCGGGCGGGCGAGCGGCGGGCGGGTCGGGATTTGAACAAAACTCCTAAATAATCTCTCTTGCAGCGGGATACTGCTTACCGGGTGTTGCGTTGGAGACGGGAGCTGTTGAGTTCTGGGATTTGTGTTGGAGACGGATGCTGTACTGGGTGTTGTGTTGAGCGCGGAAGCACGGCGAACGGGCAGCAGGGAGCGGGCGGGTGGCGGGCGGGTGGGCTGCAAGCAGCTTGGGATTTGAGCAGAATCCTAGGATTCTCTCTTGCAGCGGGATGCTGTTGAATATTGGGTGTTGCGTTGGAGACGGAAACTTTCGAGTACTGGGTGACGTGTTGGAGACGGACACTGTTGAGTACTGGGCGTTGTGTCGAACGCGGAAACACGGCGAACGGGCGGCGGGGAGCGGGCGGGCGGCGGTCGGGCGGCGGGCGGAGATGGATTTGAATAGAACTCCTAAGGAATCTCTTTTGCAGCATTATGCGGTTGAGTACTGGGTGTTGCCTTGGGGGCGGGATCTGTCGAGCACTGGGTGTTGTAGTGGAGACGGACGCTGTTGAGTTTAGGGTATTGCGTTGAACGCGGAAGCACGGCGGGCGGGCGGCGGGGAGCGGGCGGCGGACGGGCGGCGGTCGGATGGCGGTCGGGCGGGCGGGCGGGCGGGCGGATCGGGAGCGTAGTAGAACTCCTAGGGATTCTCTCTTGCAGCGGGATGTTGTTGCGTAGTGGGTGTTGCGTTGGAAACGGAGGGTGTTGAGTACCCGGTATAATGTCGGAAACGGAGGCTGTTGAGTTTTTGTGTTGAACGCGGAAGCACGGCGAACGGGCGACGGGGGGCAGGCGGGCGCCGGGCGGGCGGCGGGCGGGCGGGGGGGTGTCGAGTACTAGGTGTTGTGTTGTAGACGGGAACTGTCGAATACTGGGTGTTGTATTGGAAACGGACGCTATTGAGTACTGGGTGTTGCGTTGAACGCGGAAGCACGGCGGGCGGGCGGGCGTGGGGCGGGCGGCGGACGGGCGGCGGTCGAACGGGCGGCGGGCGGTCGGATCGGGATCTTAATCGCACTCCTAAGGATTTTTCTTTGCAGCGGGATGTTGTTGAATCCTGGGTTTTGTGTTGGAGACGGAGGCTGTTGAACATTGGGCTTTGTATTGGAAACGGACGTTCTCGAGTACTGGGTGTTGTGTTGAACACGGAAACACGGCGGGCGGGCGACGGGCGGCGGGCCCCAAGAAAACCTCCGATCGTGTCTGGATGGGATACAAGAGATTTTTTTGGTAACGATCGCAATCGAAGGCGCAGGCGGCGTCCGAAATCAGTCCGGGCTACAAGCGAAACCTAATTACCTAGCGCGCACACTCACGGCTGCCGGAGCTGCCGCCGAGGGACGCAGGGCGGCGCCAGGGGGCCGAAGGCGGGATGCAAGAGCTGCCAGGTGCGCCAGGCGGCTGAAGTGCAACCATCCCAGAGTACCCTGTCGCGCCAGGCGCCAGAGGTAAACGTGCCACCGAGCATAGCACGGCATAGCGCGGGGCTATGAAAGCAGTCCAACGTATCTGTGTCGCACGCCAACAGTGGCAACCTCAAGTGGCTGAACAAAAAAGCTAAACCACTCATGAGCAATCCACGTGAGGGTGCGTCCCACCATTGCAAGCGGCAGCTGCAAACACGGCCAGGCTATGGCAGTGTCTGAAGACCAAAGGCCAGGAACACGCAAGCATGTTAGCTGGAGCTGGTCGATGAGCAAGTCACCGGGACGCCAGGGTTACCTCACCAGGCTCAAAGAAGCCAGCGCGGATGCCACAGGGCGCCAGGGGCGGAAGGCGAGGGCCCAGAAGCCGCAACCAGGCTGTGGTCGGCGGCGGGGCGGCGGTGGCCAAGGGGGGGCAGACAGCGCCAAGAGGGGCGGCGCGGCAAGCAGCTGAAGGCTGAGAACACCTCAGGCCAAGTGCCGGCGGCGCGGCGTGCGTGAGTCAAGTGACGCCACGAAGAAGGGGCCAGCTCACCGGGGGCACCAGGCCAGGCTGTGGCCGGGCGCGGGAAAAAGCTAAGGCGAAAACAACTACAGTAAACGGCCCGGGCCGCGCGGTGGCACGCTGCGCCCCGCCCCGGCAAGGGGGGCCGTGCCAGGTATTGACGGCGCCGTGGAGCCTGATCCCCCAGGGCGGGGGGCGAAGCCAGGCGCAGCGTCGGGGCCGTCACTGGCCGTCACGAGGCCCGCTGACGAGGGATGCCGGGTCAGGCCGCGGCAAGGCGCGGGAGAAGGCCAGGGTGAAAACAGCTACAGCAAGCGGCAAGGGCCGTGCGATGGCATGCTGCGCCCCGCCCCAGCAAGGGCATCGCGCCAGGTATTGACAACGCCGTGGCGCCTGATCTCCAAGGGCGAGGGGCGAGACAGACGCTGTGCCGGGGCCGAAACTGGTCGGCGGAGGGGGAGAGGCGGGGGGGGGGGGGGGGCGACGCCAGGGAACGCAAGTGGCGCACGGCCACGCAGTCAGTTGGCACGAAGCACGGGGGGGAGAAAGGGGAAGCGCTGAACGTGATGCCAGGAAATGGGGTTGGCACCGAGGTGGCTACGGCCACGCTTTCTGGTCTCTGGTGTCTGGCTCACGGCCATGCCTTCTGGTGACGTTTCTGACGCATCCAGCGACTGTGCCGCGGAGCCCGCTGAGCTCACGACCACTTGGACCGCTTGCCGTCGCAGTCTGCACCGTCGCTGTTCCGTCTGCTTCTCTTGCCTCCGCCATGCAAGTTACGGTCGTGCCAGGGCTGGCGCTGGGGGCCAGAGCTCTATCCCCTTGACTGTTGGGACCCCTTGCCGGCGGCCGCCCTGATCAGGAAAGGGTTACTTTTGGACATCCCTTTGGCGCGGTTAGGGTGCTTCTGCGCGCTGCCGTGCCAGATCCCATTGAACGCGCCTCCTAGAAGTTTCTGGAGGCGCGCGATCTTGTCGGCTGGGGGATCTCCGCGGTGATCCAAGTTGACGCTGCCCACGTGGGACCCAAGAGATGGTCAATGGCCCTTCGCGCGCCGCTGCAGCGAGGGGGGGGGGTCGATGGGGCGCCTGCTGCCGTCGGCGCCAGGGGGCGCTGCGTGCCCGTTCCCAGCCTGGGCGCCGGGCGCGCCCCTATCACCGATGGCATTGCCGCGCCTCGGCGGGGGGGGGGTCACCTCTGGAACTGGCGGCCGCCGCGGCACCTGCGGCAGAGGGCGCGGGTGGGTCGCGCGGCCGGAAGGCACCGAGAGGATCGTCGCCAGGGCTTGGGCTAGCTTCTGCTTCTGGGGCGCCCTCGCTTGCGTCCTCGCGGCTGAGCTCGAGCGAGGGTGGGGGCGATATGCCGGGCTGCTGGGGACCTCTGGTCGCTTCTGCGCGCTCGCTCGGCGACCCTGCTGGGGGTGCTGGTCGCGGGCCGCCGAAATCCACAAAGTGATCCATTTCCGTGGTAGTGCCGCTGGCGCCGTCGCGCGCCCCTGACCGCCCTTGCGGCCCCCCCGCCGGCCGCGGGGGGGCGGCGGCCTCATCCCTGAGCCGCCTGGGGCCAGGCAGCGCGTCCACAAAGCGCCGCTGGGTCGTCCCCGCCAGGGTTGTGACGAGTGGCGTGCCGGCTCTGGGATGGCTCGCCGACCTCTTGCTGGGGGCGGGCCATTTCCCTGCCCCAGCACCTGCTGCTGTCTGAGGAGCCACCTCGCTGCCCGAGGTAGTGACTGGGCCCTGGCGCGCTAGGTTTGCGACGGTGGCTGTCGCGAAGGCGCTCGCGTCAAGGCCCAAGAGGAAGTCGGCGAGTACTGGGAGCTCGCGCCAGACAGGGCCGGGGCCGGTGCAGTGCTGCTGCCAGGCTTCGCTGCGACGCGGGCAGTTGGCGAGGCGCGTCGCCGCTCTGGCGGCCGCCCAGCGCTGACCGTCCCAATTGACGTGTGGCGGCGGGC